TCATTCCATTCACGTACACATTCAGAGGTTAAACATTACAAATCCCCTTCACTCGAGGGTGGCCTTACCAAGAGTTCATCAAGCTCTTCTTCTGCTCAAACTGAGCAGGTCTGACAGACTAACTGGAGTGCTCCGTGGGGTCTTAGCAGAAACAGGCGGCAGGCAGGCAAACAGACAGACGAAGAGACTGCATCCTCTTTCTTCTTGGGTTTAATGTGAACCACTTGAGCAGGGATCCAGGAATCCTCCTCCAGATCTCCAAAGGTACTTGAGAAATCTTGAGTGTGCGCCTTCCCATTGGGACCTGGAGAGGTTCTTTTTCCACCCTCGAGGGCCATGACTGGTGACCAAAGAGGTTGGTCTTCTGGTCAACGTACCAGATGCAACAGCAAGCAGAAACACCAAAACAACACCCATGATTTGGAGGCAGGCTTATTTGTGTCAATGGGCAGTGATTGGGATAATTCCCAGAATATCAGTCCCTGATCTCTGGTGGTCTAGGGTTTATATGGGATTAGCAAGCAGGAAGTATAGAGGCAGAATGGCTTGTCAATTGGGGATTTATTTATACAGTGTGCATCATAGTGACCAGCCATTTCTAAAAGACCAGAAGCAACTGGAACTGAAACAGGATCTATTACCTGGGCAACTAAGAAACTGAAGTATATTGGCTGGAAGGACCACCTTCTGTTACACTTGTACTGTATGTACAAGTCCCTTGTCTTGAATGGAATATTGGGCATATGGCCTCTTACAAAGGCAGGTTTTCCCCCAGAAAATTATCATGATCAATTAAATTGAGTGCCAGGGCCTTATTTGGTCCCTGAATTTATAGATATTATGTTACCTTAAATTATACATCACACTTCTTCTATCCACCCTTGTCTACTGAGTTTAGATCCTTACAATCTAACTACCGCCAGTCTGCTTGGCCACAAATCTGAGTGACTCACCTGAAAAAACAATAATTCTAGAATTGGGATCTATTAATATCTCAGGAAAATGGGCTAACACTTCCACACCTAATGTTCCCCATGTACACAATACATATCTTGGGCTGCCATAGATAAGCATGCCTCCTCACCTTGGACCTCCTGTGAAGGAGACAGGGGGAAAAACCGTACCTAAATCAATTTACCCTAAGTAAAATTAGTAGGGAGAGACAATAATTGTTTAGCTTGGCATACAGTCAAATGGTGTTGGTATACTGACTACTATGGAAAAAATATCTCTGTTTTATTTATTTTTTATTTTTATTTTTTAATACCTCTGTTTTAAATTCTGATGCGGAAGAACAGCTTGAATGGCATGGGTCTGGTTTCAGCCCTCCATTACTGCATGCCATTATCAGTGGCAGATCCAGACCCCTTCAGAAAACACTTTGGAAAGTGGCCCTTCCTTATTATACTGGTCAGTTGTGAAAAGGACATATAGCTAAATTTACTACAAATATTTCCAAAGTTCTAATGTACAAAAATAAGATCACGAGGTTTGCCATATGTACTTATAACCCTATGTCTTATGTACAGGGCTATTAAATAGAACCACACTTTATTAATGTACAGAATGTACAATGAGCCATGTGTATCAACTAGAGCCCTAGTTAATAAAACCCTGCTAGTCTTAAGGCACATGCCAGGAGTCTGGATGCTGGTAAACCTCACCCAGCTGTGGGGCTGATACTCCTATTATTTACCTATTACGATCAGTGACTGATTACCTTGTGCACCAAATGAAAAGGATGTTAGGATTGTTACAGGAATTCTCTGTCTGGTATTGTTAATTTCCAGTGTTGCTGTATCTTCTATAGCTCTTGCTCAGTCTATACAGACTGCTTATTTTGAAGATAATTGGACCAAAACTGCAGACAAAGCCTAGAATATAAAATATTCTATTGATGCAAAATTACAGTCACAAATCATCATTTTGGATACCACTCTTATGTGGATGGAAAATCAAATAAAGAGTCTGCAGTTACAACAGGGCCTCTGGTGTCATTTTAACATTACTTGATACTGTATAACTCCTCTCATATATAACCAGTCTACCCATCCTTAAAAACGTATAAGAAAGTACCTATGGGGTGCTATACATAATATAAGTATTGATTTAGAGGCACTACAAAAAGAGATATCCTCTATGTCTCAACAAACCCAAAAGTTTGATATACAAATTTAAGACTGAGATAAACTTGCTGATACTCTGATCATCTTAATCCATAAAACTATCTTAAATCCCACTTTCGATTTTATAATGGCTTGATTATATTAAAGTGTTTCGGTCTCATATTTTTACTTACAGTATGCCACAGGAGAAACTAAACCAGACAATGCTTAGATGTCATTCAACCTCAAATCACACTGTTTCAGCTGCTACAAAGACAAAAGTAAAAAGGAGGAACTGTTGGGGACCAGGCTACATGATAGATTAGGCAACTATGTGGCCCTCCCTATGCAGTCCCAAGGTCGGTGAGACCTTGCTTCAGGAACGGGGAGGTATATGGAAGGCCATGTGCCACCTGGCTATGGGCAGAATGCTAATAACCCAGCTCTCTTGAGGCAAAATAGCATCTGCTGTCAAAATACAGGCATTTGGGTTTGGAGAAAATCTGGTTCCTCGTTAACTTAATCCTTATTCACCCATTTTCTGTAGTTATTGTTTCATGTTTCTGTAGTTATTGCTTCCCCTTCACTTCTCGCTAGCCAATAAAAGTGAGCCAACTGCAGAGGTAGCTGCAGAGTCAGTCCACGACAGGCTGACTCTTCCCAGTCTCTCTTGTACCCAGAAATTTGACTGTCTTTATTTCCCATCATCCCCCCACATGTATCCAAGGGTCTGATCAGCCCTCAGTAGAGGGTTAAATAACAGTATGTATAGTACCATTTGTTGTTTTGTCTTTTTGGAATAAAAGGAGCATAACATGCATAAGCAAAGAGAACAAATGTCAAAATATACCAACATCTTCAAAGTTAGAGTAAAGCATTATGAGTTTTTCTCTTTGTTTTTGCTTTTCTATTTCCTTGAAATTTCTGCATTCAACATGTGTTGCTTTGTACTTAAAACTAAAACCAGTAACATTTTCATTTTTAAAGCATGCTATTAATTATGACTGGCTAGTGGTTTAGAACTCACAGTGTTCTCATGGAATCATTATAAATTCAGGAGTTCATTCTTAACTATCAAGAAACACAATTTCACTACTCCACTAAGGAACTAATCATGGTCAACAATAAGGCTGGTTCCCTGCCCTCATCCGTCCATAGACTAGATTCCCTCAAATCTAATTACTCCTTTAAAGCTTTTGAGGCAGAGTACCAGGTCACTTTTCAAAAAGTAGTGTAGGGAAGAACAGTATTTCGCTCTCTAGAGCACAGGGTTTCATTACTAGGTGCCATCTGAACATTTAAAATTTATTCTTTAATTTATATTTTTAGAAAAATTCTACTCAACACATTGACATACTTTTAAGTTATTGTCTTTCGTTATAACTTTTACACAAGGAAATTACTCTAGGAGTTGGGAGGATGTTGTGTTTTCTAAATGACTACCCACTTCCAGATCTGACCCCCCCAATCAATTCCCCATGCAGCAACCATATAATGATCCCTTAAAAATGAATTACAAAAAAAAAAAACAACTAATCGGATCGCATCCCTCCACTGCATAAAACGACCCAACTGCTTCCCTTTGTTGTATTTATTCATTTTGGTGGTTCTGGGGATTGAACCCAGAGCCTCAAGCATGTAGCCAAGCACTCTACCACTCAGGGGCACCACTGGAGTCACATCCCGCTTCCCTTTGTTGGAGACCATCTCACGTCATTTCCATTATGGAGCCTTTGTTTAGAAATAAAATAGCCTGAAATGCTCTCTTCTCAAATTTTCACATACTCCTTTTTATCCCTCAGAACTTGGCTCAGACAGCCACTCCTCTGATAGGTTTCCACCCTCCCTCACACTGTTTCATTTCTTTCAGAGCACCTACTGTAATCTGAAATTACCTTCACATTTGTTGTTTCACTCTTTCTTTTCCTGTTTCCCAGGCTAGCACACAAGCTGCAAGGGATGCAACCCTGGCAGAGTTTCTCTAATGATTGCACCTTTCTTTTTTGTTTTTCTCCTCTGCACTGGGGATTGAACCCAGGTCTTTGTGCTGAGCTACAACCTCACTTCCCCACCTCCGCTTTTAAATTTTGAGAAAGGTTTGTGCCAAGGATCTAAGCTGCCCAGACAAGGCTCCAACCTGAGATCCTCCTGCCTCAGCTTCCCAAGTGCTGGGATTATAGGCGTGTGCCACCACTCCGTCACTCAGTGCGCCAGGGGGAGGACCAGCTAGATAAATGTGTCCACACTGCAGCAGGCCAACCTGTTAAAGCCAGCGCTGTCTAGCCGGGGAATTTCTAGAAACTTCACGGAGGAAGCGTGACCTGGAATTTGGGAGCCAGGCGGTAGAGAGGGCACCGCTGCGGTGTGGCGTTCACGACTCGGTCAGCACTAGGCGCCGAGCGCGGAAGAGATGGCCGCAGAGCCACTGGAAGGGTTTCAGTTTCGGTTTCTGAGACGCGGGCCGAGGAGAGGCAGAGCAGGCGCGCGAGTCGGGGCGGGTGCCCAGGCGCACTCGGGAAGCCTCCCAGGAGCCCCCGACGCTACACGCGACAGAGGCTCAGGAACGCCGAAGCGGATTTCACAGCTAACATCTTTTCCTGACGTTTAAAACAAACACAACTTCCGGAAAAGCGGAGCCACGCAGAAAGCGGGGGTGGGGGGCGGTGTCGCCGGGTGGCCCGCAGACACGTCCGGACGCCCAGGCCTCCGCGACCTCGTCCCGCGCTGCCTGGCCGGGCGAGCGCG